GGGAGTCTGAAACACCGTTACGTCAGATTTGTTTAATAAAGGAACTACGTGTTTTAATAGCTTTAACCAAGCCAATTTACCGTATCTGAGCAAGGATGTCTGAGGGAGGATGCACACGCGGGCGGCCAGGTAGGCGGCGGCGGGCAAGGCGTTTGATAGAATCGAGAATATACGTTTTGGGGTGATAGATAATTGTAGAGAACCCAAAGTTTCTAGAAAAAAAAACGAGTATACCGTTTTATAGCGCATAAGTTTGACTATAAAACGCAATGTGTCTGACGTCTATACGCCTACCCAAAGCTGAGATATCCCCTGTTAAAAATGGCACTGCAGCGTTGTCGTCTTGTCATGGTGTACGACTTTGAAGTCGAGTCGTTGGTCTCACACAGTCCCACAAGTATTTTTAGACTCTGTATGAACGTTGGTATGGCATGAACTAGGATATCTGGAATCGGTCACCTCCTTCATGTCGAAAAAAAATCATCTCTCACACGGACGATGGACGGACGAACGGACACGAGAGCGGTTGCATAAGGCGGCTTTGATGCTTTTTTAAAAGCAGAAGGGCGGGCTAAAAAGTCGCTGAGTTCCTTCAAAATAAAGCCGTGTCTGAAATTAGAGCACTTTCAGCCCCTAATTTCGGACAGCCTGAAAATGGCTGCTGTGGTTTACCATGTTGAGCTACAAACTTTACACGGGTATCATTCGATAGGTTCTGGCCCATAGTACCACCAATCTCAACAGATTTGCGAAACTTTTCAATGCCGTTTTCGGATTTTGAATATAACAACAGTTGGCTCAGATATGTTAATTCAAGCATTTCTGCGTATTTTGTCCGAAATTAGGGCCCTGGTCCGAAATGGGGGCAGATGACTCAGAAGGGGCTTGGGCAAGTAGGAATTCCTGATCGTTCCCAAACTCGGTATATTTGCTTCTTATCTATGTAGGTGACGAATGCCGACCAAATTTTTTCCTGAGTGTCAAATGTGGGAAATCCCCAAAAAAGCGTGTAATTTGAAAAATACTAATTTCTACTTTTGTGCAACTATGAAGTGATACTATCACTCAAGGTTTTTTCACGAAATGTCGTGTTT